AGCAAGCCATTTTTATGGTGCGTCTTCACTTGTTATTCTGATATTAAGGAACAGACACCTCATTCTAGCAAATAAAATGGAGGTTTATCATAGGAAGGTATTGGAACTGGGGGGAAAAAGCCATTCTGAGGACCTGCTATTTATTTAGCCTTTCTCATGACCCACCTGCTTCATTTTTTAGATGTCTCTGATTCTCTTGGTAGGTCAGATCCTCATAGATACGGTGGAACACAAACCCCCAAACTCCCCCACCAACATTCCTTTCTATCTTTGCCCCATTACTAGTGCCCTACTTCCCAATATAAATTTCTGAGACTGAAAAAAACCTAACTGAACCCTCAACTTTATGCACAAGGTGCTGGTCCCTGGTTTAATCAGCTGTTAGGTATAGAGTGGAGAGGAAGGCAGAGTGATATGGTCCTTAGCCAGCAGCTGTGGATGGAGTAGTTTAATTCTAAAGAGGCTGCAGATGAGCAGGGGATCTTGGTGAGTCCTAATGAGTGTCTGATGTGAGAATGAAGGTGAAAGGACAAACAAACACCTGGCCTGCCCTCCAGATGCTTATAATTCACTCAGACATAATTGACTATAATACCAGGCAGGCAAACATGAAAAGGAGTCCCAAGGTGGGAGAGATTAATTTTTTTAAAAAAGAATAGTAATTGCAGAAATCTCTCTGCACAAGGAGACATTCAAATAACCAGTGATATAAGAAAATAGTGGCAGAGGTGAATATAAGGTGTCTTCCACAGAGGCTGAAGAAATGGAACTAAGTTACAAGGGTCCAAATTGGGAGGCTGACCTTAAGAGAACAGCAAAAAACAGAGTCTGGAGCAATTACAAATTGCATTAGAGGAAGAATAGGAAGAGAGACAACTGGAAAGAAACTTAGAAGCAGCTCAAGAGGGCCTTGAAAACTGGAGTAAGAAATGTTTACTTCATTTTATAGTAATTGGGAGCCATTAAACATTTTCTAGAAAATTATTCCAGCAGCAGCCATCAGGGTGGACTGACACAATGACAAAATCTAAGAGGGAAAATTCTTATCATGGTATCAGAGAGAGTTAATAAAAGGAGTTGTGATTGTGGGAAGGCAGGAATTGATGCTGGGAATGTGCACAAATAAAAGAACCAGGGAAGCCACTGTGTGGGTGGAGAAGGCAGAAGTGGCCCTTTTCATTCAGTGGTTTTGAGTTTTGTTGAAAGCAAAAGGGAGGGTGAGACCTTCACTGGCACTAAGGAACGTGGGAAAAGGATAAAGTTTGGGGGAAAAAGTTAAGGGACTATGAGTAGGGGTTACATAGTACGAGATAAAATAAATATCTGAAAGATCTAGGACAGCACCCGGAGAAGGGAGATTATATGAGATCCAAGAAACGTTCTAGAATAGAGGAGACTTTAGCATATTTAAAACCTATGGAAAGGGATCCTGTAACTCTTTCTTGGTATATTGTGAGGATTAAATAAGATGATGCTTAGGGAAAAGTGTTTAGCACAGTGTCTAGAATATTCTAAGTCCTCACTGTCAGCTGCTTTCAATACTGTTACTTTCAACGCAGGTTCTGTTTCAGTTTCCGTTACTAATTCACAGATGCAGGTGGTGGGGAGACCTCTTAGCTGTGCCAAACCATTCAGATTAATAAATGAACTCTCTGTTGTGCTACAGTATCCACTTAGAAGAGAACAGCAGTCACAGCAGTGACATTGCCTAAGAACTAGTGCTATTCTACTTCTGGTTTTCCTGAGATTGAAGGCAAATTACTTTCTTTACCCTGATGTGGGAAGTGAATAAGAACAGAATCTTGCATATCACAATATAAGATTGAAATGAAATCCTATAAACAGCTTTTTGTTAACAGTATGGTCTTCTAAATATTTGCTCCCAATTTTAACACATTATGGAACACCAATGAATATCCCATCAATAATCGCCATCATGTAATCAAAAAGTTACATTGGATTCATGTGTGAAAAAAAAGCTTTAACGTCATTAGATTTAAGTATTATTATACAATCTTCCTCCGAAATAAATCTGTTATTAGGCCAGAAATACCTAACAAGCTATTGTAGCTCTCTTGGTCCAGAAGGGTATTTAATCAAATTAATAAGAAACAGGCAGTTCAGTTTGTGTCAACAGAAGGACATTGTTCCCACTACCCATTTATTAATTCATAAGAGGTTAATAAATAACTTACTTTGAATAAAATAAATCACTGCAGATAAAAACTGTGTCCCTGGCACAAACAAAAGTTAATAGGTGTGTAAAGACGCATGAAAACTGCATGGTGTGAAGGTTACTGGATCCACCGAAACCCCAGATTCCTGCATCTGTGTGCATACTGGAGCCTGATTGGCCCAACTCCAGTTGAAAATAATTTTCTTGAGGTGACATTCCATCTCTTGTGCCAATTGAAAGTCTTAGCTCCTCCAGAGGAGCAAAAATATCAACAAAATATAAACTTGACCTCATTTCACACCCAAGCGCACCATTCTGATTGTTTTACTAGACTCCTCAGCGAGTACATTAGGTTTGTTTACTGCAGTTATAAACCAGAAACTGCATTCTATGTGTCCTGTATTATCAGGTCACTAAATCTAGAAAGAAAACGTGGAAAAGTTCAATATCATAATTATTCTATTATAAAGAAATAAACATTGTTGCTGTTGATCATATGTGTCGTAATCGATGCTAATCTTAAATTTTCACATCTCCTGGTAAACTTTATTTTGCCTTAGCTCATAAGGAATAGTAACAAAAGAAACAAAAAGGCAAATGATCTGAGAATTACAATACTTTAAATAAATATGATTTGGGTAATCAGGTGTTAGTGTATGTGCCAGCAAGTTTATTTTAATACACAGCTAGAAATAGGCTTCCAATCGCAAGTCACTTTTGTAAATAGTATCCTCTCTTATGGGGGAAGCTATGTGCCCTCCTGAACACCTGGTTAAGAACATGTTCACTTTCATGTATGCTCTGAGCTGCCTTTCCTCCAAATAAAAATAGAAACTAGTTTGTAGCACCACACGGGGCTCCAGCGTATTATATGAGCCTATCACTGGTTTCCTTTGATATCTTATCTATTCCATTAACTCAATAAAATAGAAGGCAAAGCTGGGGACAAATTGCAGGAGGGCTCCCCTTGGAAAACACATGCAAGATCTTTAAGCTGGGGCTTTAGCTTATCTAATAAAAGCCAGTTAAAGGAAGCTAATACTTCATTTTTCACCCCCTTTATTAAAGATCATAAGTATTGCAACTCAGGAGTAGAGAAAATAAAATAAATATATGGAGGAGTACAGGTAGAGGCAATAAAGAGCGTGGCTTATCTATTTTCTCAAGATTTAGGAAGCACTTGAAGGCAAAACTCACAGACAAGCATTTTAAAAATCTATAACAAAGGCTCCTGCTTCTTAGCAAATACAGTGGTCCTTTCTGGCTGCAGTAATCCTGCTGGATTTCTTAGTAGAATATAAACAGCTTAACCTAGGCATAATCAGGGAGGATGCCACCTACCACTCTTTCCATATTATCCTTTTATATAAATTTAGTAATTCAGAGAGAGAAAAAAAAAAGATTGATGAATCCACTCCTCTGCTCCTCCACCACCCAAAGAGAAACAATACTAGAACTCAAACTCTAACAACCAAACTAAAGGAAAGTGTTCCACCTAGAGACTGTTTTCATGAGTCAAAGTGGATGAGAGCTCATGTAGGAAATGAATATTATTTTAGCCTATCCTTGCAAGTTTGTACTAAAAAATGAAGCAAAAGGTATTGCCCCTGGTGTAATTAACAATGTTAATTTTCTTTTTCCTCTCTATGGTGATAAAGCAGTCATTTTTATATTTAATTAATGCAGAGGATCATTTTGGAAACTGGCTAATGAGCCTCTGATCACATTACCATGAAAATGTGCATTAACATTGCAACTGAGGAGGCTGTTTCATGTGTAGCAAATCCACTTTGTAATTAGCCCACTGTGAAATGAATCACGTCAGGGGGAAATCTGAGGGAGCCAGTAGTTAGTGGGTACTTGGCTACTGCTGTGCCATGGGCCACCAACATGCCAAGCATCGTCTTTCATCAGCAATCTTGTCTAAGGACAAATGTAATACTGTGTCACCTTTGGGACAAACTGCAAGAAGGGAGAAATAAACTTTATTTTGCTAGATAAGAAATTTGAACTTGAGCATACACTCCCAGGGGAACCTCCCCCAATAAAGCAGTAAGTTAAGAAAATTCTGTGAAAACTATAAGGGCTTAGGATCTAGTTTTCTTATTTGTATTCTGAAAAAGCCCTTGGATGCACATAAAAGAGACATCTAAATTTATACACTTTTTTCTAGGTCACCTACAGTTGTTTTCATAAGCTCTCAAAATTAATTTCTAGTGCTAAACAAACAAAAACCTTATAAAAAGGAGCTAAGAACAAGTGGTAAGAGAATTCCTTTATCTTCTTTTTCAGTCGGGACAGAGCATATATTTTTTTCCCCATGTAATACAAAATTGCTAGGTCTTCCTCTTAAACCAAAGCACAAATTCTCAATTCACCCAATAATTTCCTCTGGCTAACAAGATTTGGCAGGAAACTTCTCCTGTCTATTGAAAATAACAGAGATCATAGACTTATTAAACCCCAGTATTTATGCAATGATACAATTGATTTTCAAATGTCAACAGTATTCCAAAATGAAAGAGGTATCTCAAAATATTACAGACATGGATCTCAATGCTACTCCTGTTATGTGACTGACATCTTGGCAGTAGATACACAAAATGTTAAAAAGAATCCCACAGGAAGTCATCTGAAGGGGGAGTGGCAAGGAAGCTGAAAACTGCCACCCAAAACCAAAATAAAAAGCCCCAAACCAGCAAGTCTGCCCTCAATTCTGAAATGTACTGAAAGAAAAAATAAAGCTAGCCAGAATTCATTTACCATCTTACAGACAAAACACAAAGCCTGGCTCTTAGTTGCTGGTATCAGACCCTGCACTCACCTGGGAAACTTCATACAGCAGTTTGTAGTGTTCCTCTCTTTTCTGAAAAGTGCACAAATTGCAGCCCATTCTAAGAAGCAGAGAGAGAGAGCAAATCTTCTAATTTCCCCAGAAGTGAAAGGCAAGTGAACTGAAAGGGAATCACCCTCCAGACTTGACTACTGTTTTTCATCAGTCACTTCAGTCCAGAAACACAGACAAACCGCTGTTAGCTGGAAGCGTAAGCCAGAGTGGTGTGTAGCAGCATGCTCTTCTTCGCTTTCCCTAAGTATCTTGTACTCACGGATACACACACAGAGTTTCCAGTCAGTTCATGGCAACACTCCCCCGTCTCTGCATCAGTGCACATGACTACACAGATTCCAGCTCATGAATATTAATAGTGCCTCATTGATTATTTATGACAGAACATGTTAGCAGGGAGGGGTGTCATAGCTGCTGTTGATGACAGATGAATATTCACTAATTAAGAAGCAAATGTAGTGTGGTTAAACAAAATTCATTTGTGTCAATACCATCTCTGTTTATTAAGGATAGAGGGGTTCCACATAGGGCATTAAAAAAAAACATACACTTAATTTCTCCATTGATATAAGCTTTTAATATGGGAATAAGAAATTCAGAAACAGAAATATACATAGTTTACATCTCCATGCTCTGCAACAAGAAGAAATATTTTTAGGATTATTAAACCTAGGGGAAAATGAGTAGGGATAATTCTTTACATTTATAAAATAAACACAGAAGCAAAGGAAAATTTAGTGGGTGATATGGAAAAGGAAGAGAAGGCAGAGAGGTATCATTGAGTTTTTATTCTGATACTACAAAAATAACTGAATAGTTCATATGTAAAGACCATTACTTACAAAGGAGGAAATAAGGGATATTCTCTTAATTCTAAAGAATATTTGGCAAGTATTAGCAGTTGATAGTTGTACAGATAATTAATATTTTAATTAGATAATGAAGGCCCATCTATTGAGTATATATTTGTAGCATATAACGCATGTAGATCTATATTCAAAAAGTAGATCAACACAATGCCTTTTCTAAGAAAAATTTCAAATGCCTATAGTATTTATGCTAATTTTATTAAGGTCATATACAATATTTTAGAAGCTGATACTGGCAATATTTAAACTTGAATGTAATGCACAATGACTCCATTTATGATTCTATATTTAGAGTTCATTGTGATCAAAGGTGAACAGAGACTTAAAAACTAAGCTTAGATGTTTAGATAACAGAAGTAATGCATTTAATTTCACACTCTTGCAAATACATGTGTTGTATTGCAAGCTGGCAGTTTTTGTCCCTTAAAGCTATACTACAAACAGCTAAAGCAGATAATAAAAGAAAATTCCTTTGGTTCCCACACTGACTTATCCACAACCTCTGCTAATTAAGAAGTATGTCCCTGTTCCAGCACATCTCTAAACTGGACAGGATAGCAGGTGGGTTCCAAAGCAAAAATAATTACTTGGAAACTGATGACTCTGGTTAGGAATTACACTGCATCTCGAGATTTTTAATTGCTCATCACTGAGGTATAGTTACTTTTGGGGGTCCAATTTCCTAAAAGTGCTTTGTCACATGTTTAGAATCGATAACAGGAAATGATTCTAATGAGCACTAATTGTTAACAAATTGGCTTTGCAACTAGCAACACCTCAACACCAGCAAGTAGCAAGGAGATGAACAATCATCTGCTGCTTATCAGTTGTTTCCCTTGGGATGTAATAATCCGATTTTCTGGGCCTAATTTCACCTAACGGCCTGGACAAAAGCCAAGCTGAGAGACCTACATGAAAGTGGCATCATAATTGGTAACAGTGTGTGTGAAAAAAGTTCTCCAGGACCTCTGGCAAATTAGAAACCACTTGTAGGAGATATTAATGTTAGGACTTGATTCCTCTATGGAAAGAATGTTTTCAAAAAGGTATTTGAGGTGGACTTTATAAAAATTAATGGTGGCCACGAACATAAGCAATCTCCTTCTCAGGTGCAGCTGTAAAACATACATGTCTGATACTTTTGAAAGTTTTAACTTCTCTAAGCCTCTATATCACTTCCCATGAAGTATTTTCATGCTGGAGTTCACACCCTCAAAGCAAACATTGACTATTTCTTTGAAGGATTCTACATTGCTGAGTTGTGAAAGAATTATTGATTCTCAGATGTTCATACTCTGTATTTTATTTTATTTTTTGAGACAGAGTCTTGCTCTGTGGCCCAGGATGGAGTGCAGTGGAGAAATTTCGGCTCACTGGAAACTCTGCCTCCCAGGTTCAAGCAATTCTCCTGCCTGGGCCTCCTGAATAGCTGGGATTACAGGCATGTGCCACCACGCCTGGCTAATTTTTCTATTTTTAGTAGAGACGGGGTTTCACTGTGTCAGCCAGGATGATCTCGATCTCCTGACCTCGTGATCTGCCTGCTTCGGCCTCCCAAAGTGCTGGGATTACAGGCATGAGCCAACGCACCCAGCCCATACTCTGCATTTTTTAAAAAGTCAGATCAAGGAATTAGAGTGCAGTAAGGCAAGGATGGCTCACCCTTCTATCAATGAAAATGTTTGCTTTCTCCACTGATAAAACTCTCTTGTGTGATAGGTTTTGAAAGCTAAGTAAGAAATTTAAGTATCAAAGCTATTTCTTATTGGAACTTTCTTCTCTTTAAATGCAGTTTGCATTTAAAGAACAATTAAACAATCATAGCTTTAAAAATATTTTCTTACTCATCAAAAAGTAAAGAATGAATATTCTAGGAAAGTAAGCAAGTTCAAATAGAAGCTCATCCTTCAGCAGCTCCTCCTGGCTGTTTCCTTTATTCATTCTTAGTCCCTCTTCTTGTGTTTCTATCTCAGGAAGCAAGAGCAGCTTTTTCAGTCATTTATCAAATGCTGCCCTTGGCCCATTTACCCTGGAGAGATTCCACCTTCTGCTTCTAATGGACTCATCCTATAGAACTGAAGACTTGGAAAAGGGAGATTCATAATTCCAGAGTTCTCTAAATTTCATTACACTATAAGGGTTAAGTTTTCCAATAACTAAGTGGCTAAATCTTGCATTGGAGCATAAAGTTTGAAGTAAACAGGGACAAAAACATTCATTTGAACACTGCCCTGAAAATGCAAATAGAGCGGATATTATTTGTCTTGGGCAATGATAATATGGGATAAAAAATAAGTAGGGAATGAAGGACTATCTTTCCAAGTATCCTTAGAAAATAAACTCATCAAAATGTAAAAACATATGTCGTATGTGTATTTCAAGATATAGTTACTTATTTTAAATGCCTTTAATTTGTGTGAGTTTACTCCACACAAATGCATTGGCATTCAAAATAGGACACATTTGTCAAGATCTAGACTGACGTATAACAGGCTAAACTGGCAAGTGAAAAGAAGAAATCCAACATTTTTCTTGCTTTTTCTGTATAAACTGTACTATGGAGTAGCTAAAGAGTAGATGAGAGGGAGTTTCTCTTTATAGAATTATTCTGACTAATAATTGAAGAATAAATGATAGACTGTCATGCCAACAGTCCTTAATTCATTCAAGGATCTAAGTACTGTGAATGAACGGTGTCTAGCACAACACACTCACACATGCACACGAGATAAGTGTACATTATATGCCACCTGAGACAGAAAAATTGCACAGCCCTTAAATTAGCCTTTCCAAATGTGAGCAAATGTCAGCGAATGCAGGGGACAGAGGAGCATATTAAGCTACACCATGGGGATGCAATCAGTTAAATTCAGACTGTGAGCAACACTACATAGACAGGTACGTATTCCAGTGTCAGAGAGAAAAAGAGAAGATGAAGAGGAAGTCTATACATTTAAAAAGATTTTAATAACAATAAAAAGTCATTACTCTCATTACTCTATATTTTCACATATATATATCATTTGGTTGATAAAATTCTAAATAGAAGTAGGAAAATAATTACCAAAAAATTCGGGATGGTGGTTACTCTTTAGGAAGGGACACCAGAAAGTTTCATCATGGCCAGCAAAGTTCTAACTCCTGACAGGGGCAGTAGTTTTCCTAGGTGGTCACATTAAGATTCATTAAACTGACATTTGTTATTGGTGTTTTCCATATTTTTGCTATATTTAACAATAAGACTTAAAAAAGACTAATTGACAAAAGAGGCTGTGCCTATGTCTCATCCCTGGCCGCCAATGTAGTACATAATTGTGCCCCTTACCAAGAGAGGAATAGAAAACCCAACTGAGCCCACTCTGAATCACCAAGCCCATTGAGCCTGTGACTGCTGTCATACATTTCAGATGATGGCTTGCTTATGCCTTTTGCAATGACGCCAGTGTTCTTTTCCTGTGCCAGTGTGGAAGTTCTGTACATAACTCTGGTTGATTACCCTCTCTTTACCCTTGCCCCTGTCATGTGCAGACCTTCCAACTCTGCCTGCCACCTACCTTGGCATGTGGCTTACAAATTTCTTTTCTAGTCCCAATCCTGAATTCGTTTCAGGAGATACTTATGTGCTTTTGAATATTAGTAGACATGTAGCTGCCTAACATTTTCTGCAGTTAAATACCTTATACGTAATCATAAAGACAAAGAACCTGAGGCCCAAAGACACTGTGACTTGCAGAAGGTCAACCTGGGTAACGAAATCTGAACTCAGTTTTCCAATGACAAATTCTGTGGTGGAATTCAATCTCTAACATCCTGAGCTGTCTCTCTTGCAGAGGAAGCTAGAGCTACACCAACATGTCTTTATTTGATGATTGAGGAAACGGAGGATAGTCCTTGAAAGTGCTGAAATTAAAGAAAATAAAAGAGAATAAATGTTCAAAGACAGACGTACCTTAAAATAAGGGGAGTAGCTTGTGGTTAAAAATGTAAACTTTATGTATTAAAATGCTGAAAATTTTTGAATGTCACAGGTAAATATCTTTAATCAGCTAATGTCCCACAGTAATCAGTAATTAGATGTACCTGAACACATACTAGGATGACCAGCTTATCTTCATGTGCCTGGGACTTTGTTGGTTTTGGCACTGAAAGTTTCAAATCTGGAATTCCTTAGTTCTGCACAAACCGGTCATTTGAATACATGATTCTGTTTTCAGGATCCAGCAAAGCTGAACTGCTGTATACACGTCTACATCTCCCTACCTGTACTCCCGATGTTACCTCATCCTGCTTATTTTTTGGAAACCCCACAAATTAAACCATCCACACCATTGTCCAGTTTTAAGGCTCCTTCTTCCTTGTTCTCATCAGCTAGCAGTAACTTC